GTACTTCGCAGCACTTCACTTGCAATTTGCAATTTCTAGTATAGTAAACTTTTTATAGTTCTTAATAATCACCTATTTGATAATTTGTGTCATTTTAGATAGTATGGAGAATTTACAATGTATTTAACCCATCCAATAGTGATTCAGTATTTTCATTTTCGGTAATGACCATGACCACCAACTTACATACTAAACCACTTAAATAACCTTAAGTTTAGAGAGGTGACTATGTCAAATTGGATACATTATCAGTACTGAATAAAAATGAAATAGATATTATTAAAACCTTCTGGACATCTAGTAAAAGTAAAGCTAAGTTTTATATTATTTCATTACAAAAATTAAAGTTAATAATCTAAAATTGTAAATCTTCTTGAACACCTGGGTATTAAGCCTACACAGTGAAGTATAAATGAATAGATGTGCTTCCACAATAAATACCCACAGTCAATGCATCTTGCCAATGTGTGGTACTCTAACATTATTTTTTTTTAATTTACCTTTACTTCAACCTTACTGTATCATTTTTGTAACTTAGTTAAATTAGTTAAATGCTATCTGTGATTTTATTTAAATAATTTATAATTTACACTGGGTGAACCAATTTTTTTATATGCAAATTTTGGGTTTTTTTTTGTATTATATTTGTATACATTTTAGATAATTGTTATGCTTTAGACTGTATAAGACCATTGCAGTTTTCTATGGATGGATAATTATAAATTTTACTGAGTACAAATCATAGTTTTTCCTGTGCCATCACCTGTCCTCACCCCTCCCCCACCCTACTGTGTTCCCCTAAAAAGAAAATATATACAAAAATAATGTCATTATAAGATCTCCCTTTCATATTTATATTTTTAATTTTGGTTCATATCTTTTGTACTGTCATGAAAATTTTTTTTAGTGTTACCTAGTTTGTATTCAAGGAAGACTAGTGTATTAGTGAGTACTGGTAATTGTTTCAGATGTGCAAGATATTTTTCATATTGTTTAAATTGAAATTGTATGCTTTTGGTAATAAAAAAAATCATTGGAATTGAAGTAATTGATATTGTTTTTTATTGCTTCCTGTCTTGTACAGTATATGAGAACCATAATTTACTTACCAGGAAAACTCTATTTTATTTATGGTGTTTTACTTTCAGATTACAGCAGTTTTGTAGCATTGTACACAAACATTTAAACATTTAAATGCAGTGCCATAACAGAAATGTACTTAATACTGTAATTGCTCATTATAATATTAGGTTTTTGTGTCTACTGCTCAAGATTGTTAAAATGACAATAACGGAGTATCATGTCGTATCGTAGACACTATTCAGACTAGACTTAGCATTGTGATCAGTTACGATATAATCGATGGTAAACAGTCGTAATCCAAATTTTTCGCAACCATTCTCAAACTTCGACAGCATTCAGGCACATTTTTTACATTGATACTGTACTTTACATCACTGACAACGATATAGGTCGTCCTGTTTTATGTGGCCTCAGGCAATCAGTGCCTGTGGAATCCGTTGCAATTGCATTCTGTGGTAAAAGATAGTAGCACCCGATCGCAACAAGTAACAATTGCGATATCGATTACAATCAGTTTCACACACGATCTTACATTGCGATTGGGTGTCGCAATTGCTACAACCGATGGCAATGAGATGCTAGTCTGAATGGGGTATAAGTTATCATTTCACTTGTATGTTGTGAGAGTAAGTCCGGTTGGAAGAATGATGGGATGCGTCATAAGTGGAAGATGATGCCATGTGAAATATGATGCCATGCCTCGAAAAGACATATCCTAGAAAAAAACTAAAATGTCAACGATCTGCATGTGCATATTTCAGTGAATTTGCCAACACAGAAAGCATGGATAGATTATGAGTTCAATGTCACAAAAAAACTAACTCAAGCGGTAGACACATGCTCCTGCTGGGGCCAATTTTTAAAAAGGGTTTTGGTATTTATTTACATAACCCATTCGTTTACATAGCAGACGCACTCAATCCCTAATCTCAAGAATAGGCACATCTGAGTTGTTTGTTAAAATATACACTAATATATACAAATATTAGTCATTATGTTAATTACTGATCTTTTAAATCTGATTAGGCAAGACTTTTTTTATACTTTGTTTCATGAATTTCATAAAGGGGGAGGGTGGAAAGAAAAAAAATTAAAATAAAATTTTGCCAAAAATATGCAGACAGATAAGAAAATAGAAATGATATTTTATTGTTGAATAAAAATAGTGTAGTAATGGAATGGTTAAATGCTATAAATTTATATAATTTTATAAGAAATATGCATATCTTTTTTAGGAGAGTTTAGGGCAGTGGCAGGTGTAATAAAAATAAGAAAAACTTTTATATTTTTCTGTTATTTGTGGCGAGTGTGCGCTAATTGGCCAAGGATTAAATTTTAGTTTTATTCGAAATCCTCAATATTGGCAGGCAGCGTGTTTGCTGAGCAAGGTATAAAATAAGTCTTGCCTTACAAATAATTATTCAGTTATTCTAGGTCAGAAGAATAGATTATTGTAACCTCTCCAAATGCTTCTCCTATACTAAAGTGTAATCTTTTTTCTATAACATATAACCGCAAATCATAACATTACGTAACAGCAGCTGCCTGACAAAGCTTTGTAATACTAAAAGTGCTTACTGCATTTTGAGTTAAAATTCATTTATGTTGATGCTTGAAAGTTTAGCTGTTCGCTGAGACTTACTGTTCCTGCTTCTTGTGCTGAATGAGGAGAGGAGCTTAGCTCAGTTGGCTAATCTGGTGGTAGCCACTGTGTGTGCGCTGAACTGTGTAGATGTCTAGGACATTGGTCCCATGTGCATATATGGGCCATATGCATGTTAAAGAACGCAGTACACTCTTCAGAAAAGAGTAGGGAATCGTTTTTCCTGGTATATTGCCCAATCACCACCAGAAGGACCCCACTGGAAATAAGTCGTCTTCTAGACTTTAGTGGGCTGTCCTTAGTGTTAACACCGAAAAAATCTAATCCAATCCAATGAAGACCCCAGTTCAAACCTGGTCAGCGTCGGGTTAATAATTAGAATCTGATGTTTGCTTGGCTCCTCAAATAACCCTCATAATTGAGAGTTAGGCGGGTTAAGGACAGTGTTGCTATCTGTGTCCATTATTTGTTGTAGTTAAGTCGGTTGGTGCCGCACTGTGGCTCCCAATGTTCCCCAGGGTCCAGCCCAAATTTCCGATTTCCAATTTCATGAGGACCAGTAAAGAATTTGAATTACTGTATTATTATTATTATGCTTGCCATCAAGCACTTTGATATATTTTGGATTGTATAAAAGTAATGTTTTTTTTTATATAATTTTCATCTGGCGATTTTTCTCATTAGGAATTCTCAATTAATTATGATGAGTTTTCATCAACCTTTTGTATTATAAATATTGGCTTTTTTTTCCCTCACATTTTCTTTCTCATTCCTT